CCCCGCGCCGCGCCTCCCCCTGCCTCTCCGACAAGGAGCCATGAGTCCAGGAGGACCCTCAAATTATGCACTGGGTCTGTCTGGGGCAGTGCTACCCCATCCAGCACCAATGATGACAATGTCCCGGACAAAGAGGAGCCATTAACCCACAGCCACTCCGTCTTGCCAAGGCATGTATATATGCCTTACTAATTATGGTCATAGGAGCTTTCATGCTTTCAAATCTTAGGATTCGCATTTTGTAGGTTAAGAGGCAAAACAAAATTTTCAGTTTGTATTGTACCATCTTGCATGGGCAATGCTCAACTATTCACTTGTGCCAATGATTCACTCCTCCAGACAAGTCTTTTTCCTTTCTTCCCCTTGCAGCAGATTCTAAAACTAGTCGCATAAAAGAAAAAAAAGCTGCAGTGAAGAATCAGCACTTAGAAAAAACTTAAAGCACCAGAAATCTTGGAGCCACTCTCTCAGCCTAACCCACCTCATAGGGTTGTTACTGAAATAGGAGGAGGGAGCATTTTGTATGTCACCTGGAGTTGGGATAAGTAAAGGTGGGATATAAATCAAATAAACATTTCTCTCCAGGAAATAAACCTCTTCTTCCCACAATTACAGTCAACTAACAAATGTGCTATTGGTTGTATCATGTATGGCTCCACTCCTAGCAACTATAGGATCTGTATAACAATCCAGCAAACCTGTGCTGTTATCCCGCAGAAGTTGGTGATCCGTATCTACAATGGGGGCTGTGACTGTACCTCCAAGCACACTTCCTGGGGTCACGTAAGGGTCAGATTCAGGATCAATGTTTGGAATACCTTTCCATGGCACTCCTGGCTGAAATTCTGAAACAAAACAATAATTATTTCTGTTCAAAATAAAGTGTTCAAAATATTATTTCAAATAATACTCATCTCCATCAAACTATAATTAGGATACCAAAGAATTTTGCAATGAGCATGTGTATCTCAAAATGCTACAATTTGAAGAAAATCTATGTATGTACAGATAAAATATATAAAAAGATTTTGAACATTTGATTACAAATATGGCACAATTATGCCACAGGATCTCACCAAGATATTCAGTTTGTCCCTCCCTTCCAGAATGAAGTTTAAATGAAGTTTAAATGAAGAATAAAGTGAACTGAACATCCTAAAGAAGTATTACATTATTCAAGAGGGGGTTGAGTGTATGTATACCTTAATAGGATGCAATTAACAACACTATTTAATTGAACCAGGTTATCCAAAAATTACATGTCATTCATGGCTTGAAAAACATTAGGAATCTACTATACCCATAACAATGTATGGAGCTGACTGTTGGGGTGATATTCCAATATTGTTATGTTATGATCCATCAAGTCAACTTTGACTCCTAGTGATTACAAGCACATGACCTTGCAGTTTTTGGTAGCATTTTCAGAAATGGTTTGACATTTCCTTCTTCCTAGAGCTAAGATAGAGTGACATTGGCCTAAGTTCTGTTTTCATCACCTTGATAAAATAATTTATTAAACTATTTTGTATGAATAGTTTGATAAACTCTAAAGTTCAAAAGAGAATGTATGCAGTTGTGTATGAACATGATAGAATCAAGGATGGTTTTTAAGGTTAGAAATGTGTGGTATACGTGTAAACTAGTGGAGTTATGTTTCCCCTTCTTTTTCTTATCTCAGATCTTTTAATTTATTTGGCTTTGTATTTTTTTTTCTGTGCTTTGCATAATGTTGCTCACCCCAAAAGGGACTAGCTAATGTAAGTAAGTAAGTTTGATAAACTGCACAGAAAGAAGGCGTGGGAAGAAATCAGTAACAGAGATATGAATCAAGGAATATGTCAGAGAAAATATGATGCAGATAAAAAGAAAGACTAGACTCTGAATACAGGAAGTAATTTTTAGCTGCATTAAGAAACAGTTGGTTCTGTGCAATTAGATTACTGAACTTTGTTCTCCTGTAAGATGACTTTTCTGGCCTCAAGATTTGTGTCAGCTTGTTTCTTGTATTCAGGTTAGCAGCTTCAGCTAACTTGTAACTGTACATCATGGGATAATACCACACAAATCAGTTAACTGTAGTACCTTATTCTTTTAACTTGAACATACAAAAGCTTATTTATAGCTTTAAAAGATTTTATACAAACTCAGATGGTCAAATCTGGAAGACTTGGAATCACAAAACAGTGTCCACTCAGCAGTTGTAAGTGTATAAATAAGTTAACATATAAACAGGGATATCATTCCTTTCCCATCTACTCATTCTTGGAGCACACTGAAATTACCTGGTGGCCAGCTGGCATTGCTGGATTTACTTCCAATTTTACTTGTTGGTGGGGATTTGGCAGGTAGCCAACTATCACCAGCAGGACCTGTATGGCTGCCCAGTGGGTCACCAGGAACTATATCAAATTGGTTATAGGGAGATCCCCCTCGGGCTTTTCCAGGGGGCACAATCGTCCCTGGAAAACAGAAGAAAAATAGTTCTGATAGAAGATGATCAGGAGTGTAGCTGGCTGTTATCATACTGTCACCAGTGTTATTATATAGTTGATTTGTAGCTGACTTGTGTCATGGATATATATGAAAGCTGAAATAAATTCATTCAAAACAGGCCATACAAGCAGAAAGCAGAATTGAATGCTACAATTATATTTTTGCTTCAGCAGTTTGATCTATTAAAAATCAGATCTAGTTTAAAAAAGCTGCTAGACCTGAGCACACAGCACAGAATGTTCAGGTTATTCTAGCAAGTGTTTCACTAGCAGAGAGAAGTTACTTTCTGAATGTATCATTATGCATTTCTGACAACCTAACCTGGAATTTCTCACCATTTTTGTGCATACTGGCATCTTGGGAAGCCACAGGTGGCAATCCATCCATCATAGAAGTCCACTGTTTAAAGCGAGATTCTGTTCCAGTTTCTTTTCCTACCATGCCATAATCCATGCTACTTGAACCAAAACCTTTAAAACAACAAACAATATAATGTATTTTAAATGCATATATGAGCAAATATGATGATGAGGATAGTGCTAATGAGGGAACTTAGATAGCTCTGTTCATTTTAATCAAATGTGTGTAAATAACATTGTTCACTCCCTCCTCTAACCTGAACCTTAAGGTAATGTAAGCAATTCTGATATTAAAAAAGAACATGCTGAATATTGACCTAATAGATCATGTAGAGACTTAGAACATATTAACCTATTCAAACAACACAAAATACAGAAATTTAATTAGTAAAATTATATTCAAATATTAATTAAAAATACCAGTCTTTCCTGTTCCTATAAACACAACTATTCAACCCAGCCGTTCCCATTTTAGTGGAGTATAGAGACTTCTCTTATACCAAGAGTACTGTCCTATCTACACTGGTATTGTCAACAGTGGCTAGCAGTGATCCCCAGCATTTTTGACAGAAGTCTTTCCCAGCATTACTTGAAGATGACAGGAAATGGGCTTACAACATTTTGCATGCAAAGCACCTGCATACCACTGTGACACAATCAATTGTTCATTTATACTTAATCAAGAAGCATCCAGTTTTTAAGCAATGAAATAAACTTTAAAGAACCATATGTGGTAATTTTTTTTAATCAACTTAGGAACAATCCATTCTTATCATGAGCACTGAAAGCTACTTGAGTAACTTGTATTGACTGAGTGCAGGAGATAATTTAAACCTCCAATCCCCCAACACACTTCAACACTATCTACATATGTTCTTGCATGCAGTCAGATGAAGAGAAAAGGAAAACAGGAATTAAATACTGAGAATCTCTGTGTGGATTTCAAATCTTCATTGTGAATAGATTAGGTTCCTACATCTCCCTCTATTCTCCCTCCGAAGAGCTCACAATAGCTTATAGATGATTCTTAGGTAATGGTCATGGACCCATTCATCTTCAGTAACATGTGTCTGTTGAGCATTCTTTGGATCCAAAGTCACAGAACCTTTCCCCTTGATTTTCTGCCTTGCTCAGGATTTGAACACAAAACATCTCATACATAGAATAACCTGTATCACAAATGTGTAGAATCCAATGAAAAGATGACAGTATATTTATACTGCAGGAAAACCATAAAGGCACATTATATGTAGAAACTACTAGTATAGCAGTCATTAACTAGAAATCAGGGTATGCTTGTTTCACCTTTACTGACTTTTTGCCTTCTTTGTTTCTACTTTGTTTCTTATACATACCATTCATTATTTTTATTACAAAATACATAAAATTAAAGATCCATAAAAGACCATATACATAAAATTATGGATATAAAATGCCACTGTAATATTTAAGAATTTAAATGTTTCAATAATTAATTAAAGTGTCTCCTAATTAGGTTTTTGAACTATATGAATGATTATAATGATGCAACTCCTAGATCACTGCAAAGTTTGTTTATATCCTTGTACAAGTAAACTATTTATTAAAAAGTCCAGATTAAGCAATCTGGTGTTAAAATAAGATTAGCAAGATGTCAATATAATGCTACATTATGTTAGGTAGAAAAAGAAGCCAAAGCTAGAGTTCCATGCAATACGGCAAATTTTAGTAACAGAAGCAACACAAGCAAATCTTATATATATATAAACTTAGTATTATAATATTATTGCATAAAAAACAAAAAGAAGTAATAATTACAGATATTTACAATGTTTACCTGAATTATATCCAGGAATCTGCCCTTTGGTTGATATATCTGAGAGACCCACATTTAGACCACTAGATACAATACTGTCTAAATGAGGCTTAGGTCCAACTGGATGGGATGGAGAATGCTTCATGCCAGGTTGTCTTTGCTGTTGTTGAAGGGCATTTACCATACGGGCAAGCTGTAGTTAAGAAAAGAAACAAAAACTGGTTGACCTCAGACACAGGAAATTTGGTGCTGTTCAGATATTTTGGACCAACTTGGATCAGGCCTAAAAACAAAAGTTTGTGTGACTTTTATCCAAGATCCCTATTCCTAGCTTATCCTAATAAAAATAAATGATTACACTTCAAAGCTTAGTTTAAAACACTGTTTCTTAAACTTTTCAAGTTCATGGGATTCCAGGTAATTTTTCTAAAAAAAATGAGGAATACCTATAAAAACAGGGAGGGAAGGAAGAGTATCAAGATTAAATATTTATTTTCCCTCTCAAGAAATACATCCATTATAATCTTAATGAAATGTATGAGCTTGAGTATGATGGTATTTATCATTACTATCTGCCTCTAAACTCATAAAGAAAGTCTTAAAATCAGTGTAACATTTCATGTACACTGAATTCAGATCTTGGTTGTAGTGAGTGCTGAAAAACTATTCACATAATATAAAGATATAGTCAAATAAAAGGTAGTAGGACCTTCAATTATGTTCCATGGAAGAAATACTAGATAAAGTAGTTAAGCTTAATAATCATCCTTCTTGATTAACTTTTCAGATTTCACAGGTACACAGTTTACCTGTTGCTCTTGTTGCTGTCGTACAGCTTGGGAAATCTTTCTCTGATTTTGTAACAGTTGTTGTTGTTGTTGCTGTTGCTGCTGCTGGAGGAGCAGTTGACAAGCCTTCAATGCAAATGAATAAAGGAAAGAAACTAGTTTATTTTGTAGAAGCTCTAATTGTTACCAGGCAAGCATTACTCTGTAGATGTGAAAGTGTATATTTGTATAACAAAAAACATTATCATGGAAGAGCATGATGTTTTATACGAATTTATCAAAGGCTTTACTTAAAATAGAGTTGTTATATTTCAATAGTATTTATACTTGTTTCAAATTTGACATTTGGAAACTATTGTTACCAAATGGCTACCCAGGGTTTACGCACATGAAGTATGTGTGCGTGCGTGTGTATTTTCACTACATTTATCTAAAACACAACCAAAATAAAATTCTCTCATGCATCAAATGTACAGAAATAGGAATGGGGGATAGAAAATTTAGTCTGCCACCACATGAGAATGGCTACTTACAAGTTGAAACTGGGGAATCTGTGGAAGTTGGCTCAACATAGCAATCTGCTGAGGAGAAAGTTGGGGCCCCATATTGAAAAGACCTGGGTTCAGACCACTGTTAGGAAATTGCTTAAGCATGGAGGCAGAAACCTATGAGAGAAAAAAACCCATGTTTCCAACAAGAAAGTAACAGAACAACAAAATTATTTATGAACAGAAACACTTCTTCTAAATCTAAGTTATTTCACTAGTTTTTTTAAAAAATACACCAAACTTAACCATGTTAAGAGTGTTAAGAGCTCATTTTTTTCCATTAAACATATTATCTTGGGGATTTGTTGAGGCTGTATGCCAGGATACATGGGGTCGGTTTCCTGATACTCAATCACTGTCATCTATAGTATACACGTTCTTTGTAAAATGTAAGAATAATGTAAGGGTTTTGCTTACTAGGAGAAATTGCTGGAAGGCAGTTTACAACTTAAGTATAGAAAGCAAGCTGGAGCAGATGACTGGGCTGAGAAGAGGCTATGGACTTATTATTCCACATCCACCATATTAAGGAAAGTGTATTTGAAAATTGAACATAAAACTGAACTATTTCACATTATGGGGTCTAAGTTACTCATGAATTTTGAACCTTGACCTGTAAGTGAGGATTGGGTGGATGGAATTAGAGCATGTGGAGTGGCTGTATGGAGATGGATGGCCACATGGAAGGTGGGCCAGGAGTGTGAGTTACTTGAATTGACAGAACAAGATTGGGTGGAAAAAGGTGGAAAAAGACACTGGAGGCCAGATGATGGATGAGTCTCAGTGGAATGGTGAGAAAAGCTGGAGAGCGAATGTGGTCTGATCAGCTCTAGGCTCAGAAGAAGAGCTACCCTGGATGAGAGCACATACTAGGAAGGCTGTTCCAGGGAAGGGATATAGAGCTCTTCTGGCCCAGCAACCTCAATCCAGTGCCTAGGCAACTGGATTGCTGGTGGTCTCAGCATCACACAGTTGCTGGTAAATATCAGGACCATGTTTGTCTACAGTTTGGTGGAGTGAACAGACCTAGCATGTATTACTGAGTTCTGGTTAGGGAAGAGTAGTGATGTTGCCTCTCCGAAATCTGCCCCTCCAGGATTTGGTCCTGCATCAGTCTTGAATTCAAAGCAAGGGATGTGGGGTAGTGATGACTGTCCAGGAAATTCTGGCAGTGGTCAGGGGTTGTAACAGGAATAACCTTGAGAAGGAGGAAGAGCTGCAACCAAGACAATGGTCAGACAAAAGAAATTTGAGTCTGAGACAGAAATGTAATTTGAGAAATCATCTCAGGCTTGACCCTCCCTCCCTATCTTTAAGAGAACTAGGGATGGTCAAGTCTGAATCGCTTTCTCAAATTACATTTCTTTTGTCTGATCATTATCTTGGCTGTAGCTCTTCCTCCTGCTCCTCAAGGTTATACCCACTCCTTGTTTAGCAACCAAGTCCTGTTCCAATGAACAGGTCGTTAAGCGAAATGGTGGGGGGGAGAAGAGAAAGAGAGAGAGAGGGAGGGAGGGAGGGAGAGAGAGACTGCAAAGATCACTGGGTGCTGTCTCATTCAGATAAAGTTCTGTCATACCGCTATGCCAGCATTACTCTCACTCCAGCGTGTGTTGTTGTCAGACGCACAACATTTGGGTTGGAAATGAGTTGGGTTGGGTGGGCGCATGGGTTGGAAAATGAATTTTTTATTGCCCTTTATTACTGTTGTATTTGTGAATGGCTGCTAACTGAGGTAGTCACTAAATGAGGAGTGGGTGTATTCCTACAGCCTATTACGGTGACCCTGCTCTAGAGGTGATGGACTGTGAAGTTGTGACATTGGGCCACAGGGTTAAGCTGGGGTCTGTGTACTGCCCACTTTGCTATAGGGTCCCTCCCTGATCTCTTGGAACTCCTCTTGGACCTCATCTTGGGGTTACTGGAATTCCCTCAGCTTTTAGTATAAGGCACTTCAATTGCCAGTGTGGGGGGTTCTGGGAAGGCTTAGGAGTCTATGGCTACCATGGGCTGGTTACAGATAATCTTGGGCCTGACACACACAATGTCCAGATGTTAAATTTAGTGCTTACTTCTCAGCAATTTTTGTCATGAAATGAGCACTCCTAGTTCTTATGAGAGTCACTGCTTCCAAGAGACTCCAGAGGGTGGGAAGACAAATTAGGATGGTTCACTCCAGGCATCTGATAAATCTAGATGGATTCCAGAGCACATGCCTCTTCTCTGGTACATGGATATGCTGGTTTTAACCTAAAGGCTTGGTACCCAAAAACACCTACTTCAGGTAGAACTGATCCATCTGGTTCACTCATCCAAAAGTGTCCCTTCCACATGAGATCAGGCTGCATGTGACAATACTTTTCTAGCTATATCCCAATTATGTAATAACCTGCCTATCTGATTTTCAGACAGAGTTCTTCCACAGAGTTTATAACTGACAAACATAAAGACTCATAGCATACTGGTTTTATGGATGCTTTTATTCAGCTTTTTTGGAAAGCAGTGATAATCCTTGTGGAGTTGGCAGGATAGACATGCTGTAATGTTCTAATATATGAACTTTAAAAAAGATTAGACCAAATAAATACCTAGCCCAGCACTCTGGTTTCAGTGGCCAACCATATGCCTAAGGAAGGTCAACAGCATAATATAAAAACAATTATCATTCTGTTATTTATATTCCCTAGCAATTATTATACAGTATTTTATACTGGAGTTCATTTAGGAAGAAATACTCAGTATTGGGCTGGAGGCTATATAGCCTCCCAAATATTCCCAGCCAATTCAGCAAATTTTAAAGTTACACAGGCTCTCCTCTTCCACCTCCACCTCCACCTCCACCACCTATTAAATTTATATGCTGCCTGACTCTCAACGACTTTGGGCAGCTCACAACACTCAAATAAAGAAATGACAATAAAATCAATAAAACATGAAAGATAGATAAAAGATGCAAGTGTGACAGACCAGATGGAATGAAGTGTGTCTCACTCTCCCTCACCAAAGGCCTGGGTGAACAGCCAGGTCTTCATGGCTCTTTTAAACAACAGCAGAGTGGGGGCCGTCCAGAACTCAGAGGTAACCTCATTCCAGAGGGCAGGTGCTGCTACAGTGAAGGCATGCTTCCGAGATACTGCTAGATGACATTGTTTAAGTCAAGGAACCCGGAGCATGCCAACCCTTCAGGATTGAATTGGCCGGGCAGATGCTATGGGAGACAGGCAGTCCTTCAAGTAACCAAGCCCTATGCCATGCAGGGCTTTATAGATAACAATTCAGCACCTGAAATTGTACCTGGAAGCAAACTTGCAACCAGTGTCAGTTTAATGGACTAGATATTTATTTTTTGTTTGTTTTATATTTTAAATATACACATTTTGGGTATTTAAAAAAAACCAATCTTTTAATGAGAAAGCAAAACTGTAATTAGTAAGGATGGGACTTTCTGATAATTTGTTGCAATATTATGGTAGACAAATCCCTTTCTGTCAGTGTAATTTCTAGAGATGGGAAAAGCAGCTAGACTCTTTAGAGAGCTCAGCTGATCATGCAAGTTCATAACAGTTTGAATTTGAATCATAGCCAAGAAAATTGACAATTAAACTAAAGAAAGCCTTTTGTGAATAATACAGTTGTTTCAATTGTCTCTATTACTGAATGTCAACTTAAAATGATAGTATAAACTAAAATATAGGGCCCACTGTACAGCACAGTACATTTGAAGTATCACTAGACTCTGCCCTCTAGTAGTCTGTCAACTGGAAGTAACTGTAGCTATTGCACTGCAGATGCACTTATTGTCAAGAAAGCTAATGCTGTGGAAGATTTTTTTCCTCTTTTGGAATAGGCTAGAGAAAGCGAAGCATATAAAAAATGAGACCGAACACATTCAGCATCTTCTTGAGTTCAGAATTGCTAGTATTCTTCTTAATGTAACAAGATTCTACAATGTGAACCTCATCCAGATTGGAGAAAGTTTGTGGGCATACTGCTTAGTTCCAACAGCAAGATAATTTTAACAGGTCCCAAACTGAAACTTAATATCCCTTATATCTTGGCATGAAGAACAAAGAAAAGAAAAGCACAGATAAATAAGCATCTTTCCTGCTCAGAACTAACTAGGAATAGAGTGCATTTATTACCTGGCTTTTGATGAAACCATGTAAGGAAAAGGTAGTCTGAACAAATTTATACTTTTTCATTTGCTTAGTTGCAAACTTTTATGTTGACCTGTAGGGACAACAAACTATTTACAATTAAGTTTTTATTGCTGCTTACCTGGGGGGAAAGAAATTGAGGAGGCACTTGTGCCCGGATATTGGGGGAAGGATTTAATGGCTGCACTGGTGGGTGCATCCCTCTCGATTGTGCTGTGCTATTTCCAAACAGACCTTGATTGCCACCCTAAAAACAGAACAATGATTGTGAATACATCTGTTTAAATACCTTAGATATAGTCTCTAATTAGTATTATTCATGGAATATTTCAATGTGCAGTTATGTGCTACATTATTTAGGGCATATGAATGCTGGTTACCTTAAATTCACTCTGCTCTGACTAGCTTTTTCCAACTTTATCCCCTTCCGAGAAGCTGATTTCATATCACACTCATTTCTTTAAAAGCAGAAACAAAAACATAATAGCCCTCTTCATTGTGGGATCTAGAAAAAGACTTCCCTGCACAAATTTAATCTGACTTTTTAGTGTCAAATTACATCTTCCGAACAAGAGGAAAATAAGTTTTTCTTGTAGTGTATTCCAATAGTCTATTTACTGACTCTAAATAAAGATCTGCCATAATAAGAGGTCAAAGAGATAAACGAAAGCAATATACAGAATTATTAGAAGTGGGGGGGGGGAGAGAGAGAGATATTAAACATTAGGGTCCTGAATAGATATTGATTTATTTTAGTATATTCTCATAAACAATTTAATTTTAATTGTTTTAATTAAAATTAAAAATGAGTCAGGAGGAAAAAATCCAGTTGACCAAAATTAATATAGGATATAGCCAAGCAGTAATATAACCAAGAATGTGATTTTCTTACTTGTCTAGCAGCGAAGTTTTGGGGGTTGAGCCCTGAGCCGATTGCCCCAAGGCAGACGTTGGGTAATGTGGAACCAGAGGGAGAGAGCTTGTAGTTGGGAGAAGGGGAGAAGGGAGAGCAGGGAGCCTCATCCCCAAGGCACCCATCTTGATTGGAGAAAGGCAAAGTCAGCTGAAGCAGTAGTTAGCCAATCAGTAGCAGTTGGTTAGTGAAGCAACAGAATGCAAGAAGAGAAACAGTGACAGTGAATGATCAAAAATATATAAAATGTATTTGCTTAGCATTAAAAGGGCAGCTTCTAACAAATTATGCTACTTATTTTGGAGATGTGATCTAAAAGGAGACAGTAAAAACAAGCAGCTCATCATTTTAAATCTTTTTTTCATAGTTAACGCTATACTCACAGAAGAAATCTTCAGTGAAAAATACGAAAATCTCTGATTTCTTGAAAATTCCATTTATATATTTGTGCAATTTACCCACTGTCTCAATTTCAATGGGCCATTTATAGAGTATAATAATAAATCTTCCTTTTCAGGACATATACAATTGAGTAATACCTAGAGCAGCTGAGACAAATACGGGTTGTCCTTGGGTTACCACGGTAATTGGGACCGGAATTTCCATTGCTAAGTGATGTGGTTGTAAAGTGCAATGCCATGTGACTGCATTGCTTAGCAACAGCAATCCTGGCAATCCCCATTGTGGTCGTTAAGCAAGGATCATGGGTCACAACTTCCTGCTGGCTTCCATCAAGCAAAGTCATGGGGAAGTTGGCAGAAAGTCAGAAGTCCCAGGTGGGCTGCTGCCAGGCGCATGAGGATGTGCAGGTGCCCACTGAGGTGTGGCAGGACTGGGGGAGGGTGCATGGGTAACTGCTGCCATGTGTGCAAGGGTTTGTGGGTGGCCAACGTGAGCATGGTGGAGGTGGCTGCTGCCAGGTGTACATGGGTGTGTGGGTAGCTGTTGAAGTGCGGTGGGCTGGCTGCTGCTGTGCACAAGTGGCCAGCGTGGCATGAGTGTGACGTGGCTGCTACTGGGTGCATGGGTGGCCACTGAGGTGAGTGGCTGCTGCTGGGTGGTAGGGGTGGCTGCTGCGAGGTGAGGGAGGGTGCACAGGTGGCTGCTGCAGGTGGGGGAAGGTGCTGCAGGCCTGTGTGCTATGGACTATGAGATCCCTGGGATCCCTGTAGCCAGGCTCCGGTGGGTTGGTGGGGGAAGCTGTAGAAGTGCAAGCAGCTTACCACAGCCACTTTTAACCTTCCCTGCTGACTTCCCCATTGACTTTGCTTGTGGGAAGCTGACAGGGAAGGTCACAAATGGCGATCACATGATGTGGGACTCTGTAACCAAGTGCCCGGATTGCAATCATGTGACCACAGGGATGGTGAGATGGCTGGAACTTTGAGGACCAGTTGTAAGTACCACTCATTCAGTGCCGCTGTAACTTCGAACGGTTGCTGAATGACTGGTCATTAACTGAGGACTACTTGTAGATTAATTTCAGCCAGGTGAGGAAGAAAATGTTTTTTCTAAGTAACCCATGAACAGAATCAACCTGTGAAGACACTATAAGAAAACTGCTGCTCCCTGATTTTAGAGTGGGACAGAGGAAAGCCGGGAATAAGGAAGCAATTGTGATGATAATCTCTTGCATTTATTTTGACACTTATACTAACTAACTAATTTGATGTAAGCCGTCCAGAGTCCCCCATTGTGGGGAGATGGGTGGGGACAAGTCTACTAAATAAAATAAAATAAATAAACAATCAAACAAACAAGCTGCTTTACAGCTTTCTAATGAATTGAGAATTAAGTTAAACTCAGTCACAAAGGAGAAACAAACAAAAAGCTGACTACCAAACTATTCCAGGTTTTAATTGCCTATATAAAGAGTATTTTCTTTGAAAGTACTGCATGTGCTGGAAATCTTGTGATATAAGTTTTTATCTTCCTTCTAAAAAAGACATTGATAAATTAGTATCTTCATTAGAAGAAAGGTAAAACTTCCTTGTTAATAAAATTTATAAATTGCCTCACTCCAGAGGCTCTAGAGTCCACAGCAACTTTGATAAACTATTTCCAGTCCAGACTGCATGAAGAAAGGTCTAACACCATCAGAGATCAGAAAAGAACAAAATTACAGAGCAAAAAAACCCCACTTGAAATATGAAAAATTCCTTCAAGAGTTTTCCTGAAGGAAAAGCCCTATACTGAAGAAAGGAGTAGAAGGCTCCAAAAGGTAACTTTGCTAATTTCAATATTGTGAAAAGAAAGAGGAGTAACATCATTGTTGTCAGTTTCAGATCATGAAAATCAGGCAGCCTCACTGACTGGTTTCATACATACTGGATTAAAATCCCAGGAACAAGAGAATCTGAACCACATCTCAGAAACCACATTCCTAAGCAGAACACTCCAGAAGACCTTAGCTCCCTGCTCATCAGGGAGCCTACTCCCTTATCCATGCATGGCAACACCAGGAAGCAGATGGATATAAAAACTTAACTCTTTTTTAACTTAACAATTTTACCCCTTTTAGACTGTCCATTCTTCAGCCAAAAATGGGCTTGGGATGCACAGTCAGGGCCAGGCAGAATGTAGAAGCTCAGGTGGAGCTCAGACTGTAGCCTTTTGGCCTTGGGTACTATATTCCTATTTGCCTCATGGTGTATTTTAACCACTGTGTTAACAAAATCTGGAATACATATTAACCTCTGTTTATCTTGCCAGTATCTGTAACTCTGTCAATTTCAGTATCACCTAAAATTGTAGGAGAGCAATAATGAAAAGGGTAGGCTTGCATTAGATTTTTCATGTTTTATTCTGCAGTTAAGTAGACATACAATGAATATGAACTAACCCAGGAATTTCTAAAAATCTGCAAGGGTGCTAGGAGTGTAAGACAGGCAGTTAGAACTGTGGCATCAGGAAAAAAATGTTAGTAGTTATTGGCAGCAGTATTTATTGGACTTTGGGACTCAGTGATTATGCATTTGCAGGTCTTTTGTTGGAAATATCAGTTTTCTTGGACTTCTGTTGCATGATTTGGACTACTGAAACTATCCTCAAAAGTTATATGAACAAACTGCTTAGCTGTAACTGATTTTTCATGTGAACATTTTGGCATTCACACATATTGGCTTTTCTGTGTCTGTCCAAACGTCTTCATGACTTTGTAGATCAGAGCTAATTATTGGTGAGCCCAAAGTCATCAACCTCCCCGATATTTTACCTCAATTCTTGAGACTTACATAGGTCTATCAAAACTATAATCAATCTCCAGAGGGATGGAAAGATAGGTTGTGTGATCCCTTGAAGAACCACAATTAGAGATAAGCAACCTGGTCTTTTTAATATGGTGTCTGTGCACCATACATCTGAGCAACTAGTATGGAGGAGAGTAGTACCCTTCCAAAAAAAGCATCCAATATGGCTCTAGTATCCAGCCAGTAGCATCTGATAAAGGGAAAGGCTGAGACTAGTTAGCAACCTGACAAATATCTGGAAATGGAATTCTCTGGCCATGCTGCTGTTTAAACAGCAATGGCTCTCATGGAATGAGTTTGCACATAGTCAAGCAAAACTAGGTTTGACAATATATAAGACAATATGGTAACACAGGAACTATTCTTTGAGATTATGCTGGCAAACCTTTAGACACTCTACAACAAAAAGAACTATTTGTTATTAGAAATGAGTGATCCTGAGCACACAAAAAGCTAAAACATGGCAGACATATAAAGAATGCAAAGTTGAAGTTGTCAAAGATAAGAAGATTGTTATCCTAACCCAAATAAAATCTGAAAACTTTTGCAAAGGCCACATAAGATACAAAATAACCCTCTTATAGAAGACAGCGTAAAGAGAATCTACTGAAGGACAAGAAGTTTACTAGCACTGAATGCTGAGTGGTTTGCTAATAGAAAAGCAACTGCTAGCCTTTAGTTAATTCAGCAACTGCTATTGGCTCTAAGAGCCTTCTTGTCAATAGTGAAAGAACCATATACAAACTTCATGAGTGTCATGCAACTAAATAAAGTAGGTAATTTTTCCCCCAGTCCTTCAAAAATGGCTGGTATGTATGCAAGAAGAAAGACTATTGTTCTGTAATATTACTATGAAGTAATCCTTAAGAATGCTAAGAGGAAAGAGAAAATAAGAATTGAAATACTGCATTTTAGGGTGCTATTTCAAGTAAAAGCTCCATATCTTATATCTCAGAAACCTTGACATTTCATTTCACAGGACTTGCAGGCGGACAGCTTTTTGTAGTCTTTAAGACACCAGAGATACCACTTGGCAAATATCCACATATCTGATGTTCTAGGCTAATAGGTGCAGAGAAGGAAGAT